TTTTTTTTTTTTTTTTTTTTTTTTTTTTTTTTTTTTTTCCTGATTATAATGTCTTTAATCTTGTTATCTTGCAGGTAGAAATTTGTCACTTTAGGAAGGAAAAAAAATGGGTGGTTCTGGCTTTAATTTTGATTGGTCTCAAAGAACTCACATCTTTCATCTCAAGGTGTGGGTTCTGGTGACAGTCTTTCTGGGCATCTCTTTGGCACTGCTTGTTTTCCTGCTGTTGTGTTATATTGCTCTCAGGAAATCCCGAGAAAAGAACGGCACACTTCCAGTACGCCTAGCCCCACACATATCCCGAGAAATCAAGGAAATCGGCATGGATCAGAACTCGGCCACTACCCGTGTTCACAACAATTACATGTACCTCTTTAATTTCCAGGACAAGTGCCATGAAAAGGATTCTGATAAGCTTTTGAGCCATTTCAAGAACGACGAGGAAAAGAATAATGACGGCAGCAGGCAATCTGATTCGTCTTTTAACTATCTAGACGAGACTTCTCCAGCAGAATCTGGGGAGAAGACGAAGAAGAATTCTTCGCCTCTAATGGGTCTTCCTGAGCTATCGCACCTCGATTGGGGTCATTGGTTTACGTTAAGGGACCTTGAAGTTGCTACTGATAAATTTTCAAAGGAAAACATTATTGGCGAGGGCGGGTATGGAATTGTTTATCGTGGTCAACTGGCTAACGGTACAATTGTAGCCGTGAAAAGGCTTCTGAATAACTTGTGAGTTTTACGTGGAATTCAAAAAAAAAAAATAAAAAATAAATAAATAAATAAATTGAATTGACTTGTACCCTTTTCTAAATGTATAATTTTTTTGGTATAATATGTAGAGGTCAGGCAGAGAAAGAGTTCAGGGTGGAGGTAGAAGCTATCGGTCATGTCCGTCATAAAAACTTGGTTCGGCTTTTGGGTTACTGCGTTGAGGGTACCCATAGGTAATATTAGTTTATCATTACTACATTGAACTTCCTCTGCAATTGGATTTCCTACTTAGTGACCTTAATTAGTAGATGTTACCATGGACATTTTCATATTCCAAAGAATATATATAATTTTTTTAAATAAACTTAATCTCAGGTTATTGGTGTATGAGTACGTCAACAATGGCAATCTCGAGCAATGGCTGCATGGAGGTATGGCACATCTCGGGCACCTCACATGGGAGGGACGTATGAAGATTCTGATTGGAACAGCTAAAGCGTAAGTTCACATTTATGTTTGTGTATGTATATGTGTGTGTTGACGGATTTGAGTTATCATATGTTTCGTCTTGTCCTGTACAGTCTTGCGTATCTGCATGATGCTATTGAGCCCAAAGTCGTTCATAGAGACATTAAGGCAAGCAATATACTGATCGATGATGATTTCAATGCGAAAATATCTGATTTTGGGCTTGCAAAATTGCTCGGTGCTGGAAAGAGTCATATTTTCACTAGAGTCATGGGAACCTTTGGGTGAGCATTTTAATATGATTTAATCTGCATTCGGTCTCAGTTCTTGTATATTCAGTAAATAACTAAATATTAATGCTTCTTCTCTACCGTCTTTTCTTTATTATTATATTTGTTAAAATTACACAGATATGTAGCACCGGAATATGCTAGTAGTGGCTATTTAAACGAGAAGAGTGATGTTTACAGCTTTGGTGTTTTGCTTTTAGAAGCTATAACTGGCAGAGATCCTGTCGATGACAGTCGACCGGTTCATGAGGTACTACTAGTTGTGTTTAACTTTGCCAAATATGCCTGATTTCCGAGTTATAGTGGCAAAACAACTTAATTTACCCAAAAAAATTATACTCGGTTTTTCAAATTGGAATTTCCAGTTGAGTCTTAGCATTTCTTTCAGTGTGCGCGCACGCGCGAGTATCTATGGACTTTTTTTTCAATTGCATCATATCTAATATATAATCTTTTGCAGAAAAACCTAGTTGACTGGCTCAAGTTGATGGTTGGAGAGAGACGGTCAGAGGAAGTTGTCGACCCGAATATGAAGAGTAGGCCGCCCACATCTTCCCTTAAACGGGCTCTCTTGACAGCCTTAAGGTGTGTTGACCCAAATGCTGAACAAAGGCCCACAATGAGCCAAGTGGTCCGGATGCTCGAGTCCGAGGAATATCCTATACCAAGAGAGGTTTGCTTTTCAACTCTTGTAAAAAAAAAAACTTTATCTTCCAATTGTGTTATGATTTCTCTTTTGATGTCTTCATTGCACTCGTCTGCAGAGCCGTAGAGTGCGAAAAGAGAAACAGGAGAAACTTTGATGTCGATAGGATCGGAAGTTGAAGTTTCAAAAATGAAGAAGCAAAAAGTGTGTGTGTGTTTGTGTGTGATGTCTTAGAAAATTGTAGATAGCAAAGATGATAGGAAATGTTTTTTTACATGATTTTAGCATAAAGAAATACATTACATTATACCTCAAAATGCTTGTAGATGCTATGTGTGTTTGAAAGAGTTTGTATGCTTACATCAACTTATAGTCTCATGGATTTGGATTGAAATTGGTTTTGCATTTGGATATATTTTGTATTTACCTCTCTCCCCCTCCAAATATATATGTGGTCTGATTTTCAACTTCTTAAGGTAGGTATTGTAAAATGTTTATTCAAATGCTTGGGAATGGAGGGAAAAGTTTGTGTGGTATTAAGGTGGCAATTAAAATCAAATTTTATCTCATTTATTTATTTTTTATTTTTTATTTTTTTTTTTTGATAAAAAATCTTGTAAATATAACAATATGAATCTGATTCTGTAAGAACCAAAGGTCAACTGCAAACCATACATTCCATGTGCATTCAAAATTATTGATTGCATAATATAAAAACAGTAAGACCCTTTGTTCACTGGAATATAAGCCAACAACTAGCCAACTCAACATGCATTCAATACAACTCAGAAGATGCTGAAAACATTTGTGAAGAATAAAAGTAACAACCAAAACATCAGATAAACAGTTGTCAGGCTACAGTAGTTTCGACAAGTAGGCCGTAGGCCCGTACCATATGTGCGTAAGGGCGAGGCCCGTATCTATATGGTTCGTCTTTAATCTGAAGGAATACTTCAAGCACACGGGCAATCTAAAGGAATGTGCACAAAAAGAATGCTCAACAGTAGTATTTATACAATCGATAGTTTCTACTTTGCTCTATATATCCAACAGTTGGTTCATAAATATCTCCAGCAAAAACAACAATGGTGGGAATTAAATAAAGACAATACCACCAAAAATTATGAAAAGTCTAGCCAATTGTACAAAGCACATACTCACATAACAAACTCTAGAAGCCCCCGCGCTCGTCTACAATCATTGTTCCGTGGTGGGGCCACAAGAACTTTGAGCAAAATATTTTGAGGAAAGGAAATCACAAGTTGGGTGGAGGTCCAGATCGAGTATTCGTATTCAACAAGGGATGTAGAGCTTTTACTACAATGCTCATATTTGGCCGAAAATCGGCTTCGTATTGCACACACAAGGCTGCTACTGCAGCCATCTGTTAAATATTAAGAGATTCGAAATTACATATCATGATGGAAGAATAAGAGATAGCACTTAATACACATAGCATTCGATTAGATTAGGTCGGTTACTTAAAGTACGATGTTATTCCTCAAACGAATAATAATGCACTTCATTTTTTTTTTCCCTGTTATTCCTTTTTCTTTTCCTTTTTGGTTGAATGAGAAGGTTTATTTTACTTATTTAATTACTCGGGTACCTTGGCAACAGCCTTAGGAGGGTATTCTCCGTTGAGTCTAGCATCTACACACTGCTTCACCTTGTCTTCACTTAGCTTAGGCGTAGCCTGATGCATTAAATTAAGAACAAGGTAATAAAACTTCATGAAATTATGCATGAAAATTTCTTACATTCTGTAAAATAGTTACTTCAATAGAAAAGCAAGAAAGAAAAACGGTTGGCTTTACCCATGTCACGAGACTTTGTTGCCCCCTCGGAAGTGTATGGTCGACTGGTTTACGGCCGGTCAAGAGTTCTAAGAGCACAACACCAAAGCTGTAAACATCACTCTTTGAGCTTAGTTGCCCGGTCATTGCATATCTGGCATCACCATAAGCAATTCAGTTCATTATGTTCCGCTACTTCATACGAAGTGGTAAAAAGAAAGCGTACTCAGGAGCATGATAACCGAAAGTCCCAAGGACGCGAGTAGAATGAAGACGCGCTGCCATGTCAGGGGCTTGATTGGACAAATCAAAATCCGCAATCTTGGCAACATCATCATCAAAGAGTAAAACATTGCTCGACTTGATGTCACGGTGAATGATATGAGGTTGTGCCTTCTCGTGCAAGTATTCTAGTCCTTTGGCGGCCCCAACAGCAATTTTAACTCTCTGGGCCCATGACAAGACTGGACCTGGTTGTGCACCTTTCACACCTTTCCGACCTATATTAACACCTACGATCAGTTTCCTACTAAACAAGGATAATAATAACTGAAATGATATAAGCTACAATGAATGAGTACAAGGCAAAAATGCATTTTTAGTCATGTTGGTTTAATATCATAGCCATTTTAGTTCCAAGGTTCCAACTTTTTGCCTTTTAATCCTATGATTTAATATTTTGCTGCAATTTTAGTCCTCAAAGGACTGAAACCGCAACAAAATTTTAAACAACAGGACTGAAATTGCAACAAAATTTTCAATTATAGGACTTAAACTGCTAATAAAAATCTATAAATTTGGAAATTTGTTGCAATTTTAGTCCTCAAAAGATTGCAATTTTAGTCCTCAAATGACTGAAATTGCAGCAAAATATAAAATCACAGGACCAAAAGGCAAAATGTTAGAATCTTGGGACTAAAAAAGCTATAACGTTAAACCAGCGGGACTAAAAATGCAATCTAGCACTAGATTCAGTAGAATAAAGGCCGAACTCACCATGGAGAATGTCGTGTAGGGAGCCATTAGGGGCATACTCGTATGCCAGAATACGAAGACCACCATCCACAGAGTAACCAAGCAACCCAACAACATTCTCATGCTTTAGCCTTGATACCATAGAGACCTGGAAAACCACGAATAGCATCAACTTTTCACAATTGAAACTCATCCAGAACAATAAGCCAACAATATATTAGGCACTTTCACTTGCAATGCCAAAAAACCTGCGCTAGAAATTCTTGGTCTGGCTGCTTGCTGGAATCTAGCTTTTTAACTGCAGCCGCCTGTCCAATTTTCAAGACTCCATGGTACACCCTTCCGTAAGAGCCCTCACCAATTAACGATTTTGAACCGAAATTATCAGTAATGTCCTTTAGCTCGTCTATTGGAATGGCAGGCACAGCTATTGGCTGCATGCTAATACTCTGTTTATCCTTTTGTGCTCTTTCTGTTGCGTGATAGCCTGCATGGTTGCCTACAGAAGAAGTTTTTGCCCGGTTTAATAACAACATAAAAGGTAGATGAACTCATTAATGGTAACACCATGGGGAAACAATGTTGGATCTTTACTTTATGCATATCACATAATACTGACTACTTCCTACGTTTGATTTTTCCGGTCATTAAGAAACTGATACCAAAGTATTTCCGTCAGCTTCTATAATTTAACTTTGTTCAGTAACGATTTTTCTCACGAGTTCAAAATGTGGAAAGTAAGTTGACAATAATTGTTATATTCAACGCTTGAATTAGAAATTTGAAACCTAACCTGCAGCATGAGTTGTCATGTAAGGCCCATTACCAGCAGCCTTGTGCATGTCATCTTTCTCACAACAACCAAAGCAACCCATGATGTGTGCTATCCCAAAATGTATCTACGGTATAAAAGCAATCAGAAGAAATCACTTGCCATCGTTCATTATTAGTACATGGATTATCAAGAGAAGCGATATAATTTATCACGGAATCTCGTCTAGAAAATAGAGGCATCAGTACAGTAAGTTGGTCAAGACTAGTTCCAGTATTCGTAAGGCCTTTTGCGGAACGGGAAAAATCAAATAGAAACACATTGAGAATATTTTCAATTGTTTTCGCAATCCATGTTGGTAATGTGCAGTGGACAACACAGAGCACAAAACAGGTAGCTATCATATGGAACACATGCAAAATGCCTACGGCCGCGTAGGCATACTTTCCGTCATAAAAGGGAGGAAAACGTAATCTTGCATTACAGAGCTCTTCACCTCAACCACCAAAAAAAAAAAAA